CTCCTTTTGACTCTTCGTTTTGGGTGCATTTGATGTTGTAACCAACAAATTCTGTTGAGTAACTCCATGTGCAACGATTGCATTGATGTCCTTTCTTGACGCAGCAGAAACATTTCTTGTTGTGTTAACCCTAATCTGTCTTGCCTGGTAGTGGACTGAGTCTGCTTTGAATTCTGCTGTGGCAGCTGGGTCCTCAGACTTCAATTTTGTAGCAACAGCCTTTCTATCATCGCTGTTATGGTAGAGAGCACCTGGTACGTGGGCTTTCAGATTCTTCTTCTCCTCTGGGGACATCCTATCCACATGGGTTTGCGGTAGCTGAGAATTGTGGAACAGGTACTGTTCTACAAGAGGAGTCAAGATTAATCCATTCAGACATGAGAATTCGGCTGTGTTCTTCTTGTTGACGCTACTATCAAGAATGCTTGCGCATTCACCACCAGGCAATTGAGATGCCGACATTACTGCGGGAGCAATTCTCCGGTTGAGGAATCTTTACAGGGTTCGAAAAAAGAAACATTGAGATGGGATGGTTGTTGTATTATTGCGCAAACGCGGGTGTGATCCAAGGATATGATGCAATATATAACCATGATGAGATGCTCAACGGACGAAAGGAATCTGCTTGTAGAATTCTCTAACCACTTTCAGTTCATCATGATGATCGTGTTGTATGGCATATAATACGATATGTATAAAGGTATATGCCTGCTCAAGTTTTGAAGCTACCATCAAACGCAAGAAAAGGGAGTTTTTACGGGATGGCTCAACACACAACAAATTTTCTTGGTGCTACAGGAGTTTTTACCGGACAAATTGCCAATACAGGGATACCCCGCAATTTGTTGTAAAACCAGATTTTTCTCGTTTTTTAAGAGTCCATGTGGTCATTTTCACCCTCTTCTGCACGAAACTCCAAATAATGGCTTTACTTAGGAAAAATCTGTGAGTGCCTTCTACGACTTCAAATGTTTAACATTCACAAAACTTGTTAACGGTCCGTCCGCCGCTCAACAGGACATCTGTAGGTGGAAGACTGATGATCCAAAACCTTATCCAGGCCTAAAATCAAAATTATTCCCATACAAATGTTTTAGTTTAGGTCCTTAGGTTTCATCCTATCTGTCTCATTCAGCTTGCCGCGTTACGTTGATATATCTGTTGGTGATGCTGTCAATTTTGGACAATCGCGACGCTCCCAGGAGACCTGAGATCTCGGTCGAACTCATTATTCGTGTTATGAAGAGGCTCGGTACCATGTCTGGAGTTCGTATTGGCTGTGTACCAGCCGATTGAACCACGTGGATTTGCGACATCAGACGCAATATAAGAGCAGTAACAATCAACCTCCTCCGAGATTTTATTGGATATTATGGGGATCGAATGTGCACAGTGTGGCCTAGTACGACTCATGAACAATCTGTGTCTCGATTTTTAGCTTCATTGAAGCCTTCCTTGGTGAATTGCTAGCACATTTCGGATATCGGAAATTTTCGATTTCTGTCCAATGGAGCTGATGACGTTTTTGGGCTACAGTGACTTTCTAGAGCATAGTAGAGAAGTGCTCACCAGATAGGATGAAACCTAAGGACCTAAACTAAAACATTTG